ATCATGCCGTACCGGCGCAACAGTTAATATCATATTCATTTGATATTTTACACTTTAATTTTAATATTGTGTTAATATTATATTAGTACTATGTTCATATTTATAGTCACCGTGATTATTTTTTGTGTTTTTCATTATTGGGCTGCGTTGAGCATGAAAGATGAAATTCCTACATCCCCCTTATTTAGGGTTTGGAAAAGCTGAGGATGAAGATGGTGAAGCGCCAGAAGTTAGAATAAACATATGGGAGTCCAGCAGGAGTGAGGAAACCGTGAGGAAAACTGAAAATTGGGTGAAACGCTGAATCAAACGCGTCTTGGGTCCCAGCTGGAACAATATCAAATGTTTCATTGTGGCACGTTAAGATACTTCACGCATTTAAATTGTTCGTTTTTTTTTTTTGCGTGCATTATGTAGAAATAATGATTATTCCGACCATGTTCTGCAGCAATAAATACATTGGCATTGGAACGATAACCTTGTTTAGTTGAATTACGTTGACAGCAAAAGTAAGTAAACACGCAGTCACTTGCTTCTGCTGTTGCTGTTAGTGAACACACAATCCGTAAATATCTTCTTTGAAATTGGTTCTTCCGCTCAGAATATTTAGTAAAATTTTGTCTGGGAAAATCAAAAAGCCCTAGGGCCGAATCGTTTCCCAAATACCTTCAACATTAGCCGAGGCGGGCCGAAGCCATTTCCCAAATGCACGTGCTAATGTTAAAGGGATATCTCGGCATGTGGTAAACTTCAAAATAATATTACCACTCAAAATTGGCGATGCGAAAACAAAGGATGTAAAGGATCTGTTTCAACATCATTACGATATCATACCGAAAGACAAGTTGTTACTAGGCAAATTCACAACCACCCCCCAGTTCCGGCAAGAGTTGAAGTTGTTTCGGCATTGGACAAAGCCATGGAACAGGCAGAAACGTCAAATTTCCGAAATTCCGTTAAATTTCCGAAAAATCCGAAACATCAAGATTTGGGCGGGTTGCCTTTAAGGTTTGAAGAAACTCTATACCTATATGTTTGTTCCGGCAAAAGGGCATCTGAACTAAGTACAGTCTGTCTTAAAAGTACCGCGCAAAGTGACGGTGGATCCATCAAGCCTAACCTAGGTGGGGCCTGCTATAATTTGAAAGTCACCGAACCAATTGACTTGGGAATGGATGAGGATGTCAATTGCTTCGGTGACTCAACTTTAGCAGGCCCTTCCTTGGTCAGGCTTGATGGATCTGCCGTCACTTTGCGCGGTACTTTTAAGACAGACTGTACACCAACATCCGAACATCTGAAATCTGAAGTGTGTTATACATAATCGAACGAACGAAATATATGCGACAACGAGACCGAACTTTTTCATGGTAAACATGGCCGAGCATCTCAGGGAACTATATATTTCAAATAAATTTCGGGAACTAGCACAAATGAACTAGACCAAATATGACACTAGCTCAAATGAAGCTAGCTCAAGTGGCACTAGACCAAATAAAGCACTAGACCAAATGAACTAGCCCAAACGATACTAGACCAACTGACACTAGTCCAAGTGGAGGGGACTCGGTCAATACGCGGTAGGTATATTGGGACGAACCTCCGAACCATCGCTGATGTGATTCATTACACTAACGCGGACAAGCTAGAAGGAATATGTAATTATGGCCCTCGATTTCCGCAATGCTTTCAATAGTGTTGAGCACGCGTTTCTGTATGAAGTTTTAAAACTGTTTAACTTCGGCGAAAATTTCATTCAATGGGTTAAACTTTTGCACAACAGAAACGAGTTAGCCGTCATCAACAACGGGTTCACCTCACCATGGTTCTCAGCAGGTAGGGGACTACAGCAGGGATGTCCGATGAGTGGGCTACTCTTCGCACTCGTGCTAGAAACTCTAGCCATTAAGATCCGTAGCGCGAACGAGGTCCGAGGTATTAATGTATCGGGCGAGATTTTCAAGTCAACTCAATACTGCGACGATATGACCTTATTTGTACAGGACCACGTATCTGCCGTTAAAGCCATTGCCTTGGTTCGGGAATTCGGCAATTTGTCTGGGCTAGAATTAAATATGAGGAAGTGTGAGTTTATGTGGGTTGGCTCAAAGAAAGACTGCGAGCAAACAATCTGTGGATGCTCACCAGTTAAAAAAACGAAAATTCTTGGTGTATGGTTTAGCGCTACCCAGAATTGTGCACCTATCAATTTTGAAGCCATCGACTCACGGGTTAAAGGCACGCTCCAAGACTGGTCACAAAGAGCACTCACCCTAAAAGGGAAAATAACGGTTGCAAAAGCCCTAGTAGTTTCTCAACTCGTGTATCACATGGTTGTCACAAGAATGGAAGAAAAGCATTTGGCCATGATACAGAGCCACATCATGAACTTTCTGTGGCGAGGACGGCCGCCCAAGGTGGCCAAATCGACGATCATCATGCCCGTCGAAAAGGGGGGATTAAATGCACCGGACCTAATAAGGCGTGCAGAATATCTTGGCTTGGTAGGATGGCAAGGCATAAGGGAGCAACGTTTGTGAAAGCATTGCAAAATAGGCTAGGGTTTAGGCTCGGCAATGTTTTAAACACAGACTTTGAAGAACGCTGGCTAATTAACAGACAGGTCCCGGATTTTTATAAAGAAATGCTACTCTGGTTTCGGAGCATACACCCAGCGAAAACTCCTGAATGCGGTAGGGGAGAGTGGGGTGGGTTGTATCAGTTTTTACTCCGAGACCCATAACCTCGTAACTATCCGTGATAAACTCATTATTTCCATACTATCCTCTTCCTTGATTCTTCTTTTTTGTGCCAAGTAACTTTTCCGCTACCTCTACCAGTTTTTATTCTACGGTCTGCCGAATAGAACAATGTTTTTGATACAACTTGCCCCATGGCTTGGGTGAGTTGTATCACATGGTGGGGTAATTTGTATCACTATTTAACGTTTCAGGGAGTGTGCTTGTTACTGGTTTTGAACATAACAGCAACATTAAATGGGGTTAATACAATGTATAGGTATGCTCAAAGGCTTCACTTTATTAGACCAAACTTAGGTCAATGCAATCCGAACGAAACATCAACAGACTAGACGCAAAAGTGGCCCGTTAAGAGCAAAGAAGCCAACACATTGTGCCGAAATGGAACGAGCATTGACTAGCTACCTACAAACGCGAGCCAGGGCTTAGCTTTCGCGATCAAAAGCAACATACCCATACATACATACATACATATATGTTACAACATACCCCACCCGGCTCTGATACAACATGTACCTAGCCGCCATCTTGGAAAAAACATCCTCGTGCTAAAAAAAACAGCGGACAGCTGGAGAAATCCGTTTTCACTCATGCAGCCTTAGAACCTACCCTCACCACCGCTACGGAGATCTTTCAAATTCGTGCACATCTAAATGCCCAAAACACACATTTTCTTGCAACTTATTTTTTTAGAATGACATTAAAAAAACATAAAATCGGCTCTCACCTCGAGACGCGTCCACTCAGCCACAAGACAGAACAGGGAAAGATGGCGCCCGGAAAACCTCGTCGGCTGGTCGTGTCGCGAGCGCCATCCATTGGATAAGTTTGGCACAATTCGCCCTGATACAACTTGGACATGATACAACTCTCCCCGCTCTCCCCTAAAGCAGTTAGGCAACAGCTGTTATGGCAAAATAAGGCACTCAAAGTCAATAATAAGACTTTATTCAACAAGCAACTAGTTAGAGCGGGAATTTGTCTAATAGAAGACATCGTGGACGAGATGGGCGTCATCATAAGCTAGTGGGAATCGTTTTTACTTCGACACGGCATCCGCATCAACCCAATAACATATATGGGATGGTGTCGAGCCATCCCGGCTAGTTGGAAACGATTAATGCGCGGCAGCTGCCAACTGTCACCCGAAGATCGAGACTCAATGCCGTCACTCTCGCTACGCGGTAAAGACATTCCGCTAAGCCTATTAAAAACTCGTGCCTTTTACGAAATCATGCGCGCAGAACGGTTACCGACAGCACAAACCAGATGGGCAGCTGAAGGTACAGATTTTGGCATGGACTGGGGAAAGGTATACGCATTGCCGTTCCAAGCTACAGCGTCGACCAGGCTGCAGAGTTTGCAATATAGAATAACGCACCGTTACTTTCCAACTAGAAGATTTTTGTTTATTCGTGGTGTAACCGAGGATCCATTTTGTGATCATTGCGGTGAAGTCGAAACATTGTCCCACCTATTCTACACCTGCTCGGCAGTCCAACCATTTTGGAGCGCTTTATTGGAAGTAGTTAACCGTAAAGTAGGGAACGAAATTTTCACCGAGAGAGACATCCTGTTCGATGGAACGAGATTCAGGGCAGTCGTGAATTTAATATTGCTTGTCGCGAAACAGTTCATAGTATACTGCCGCCATGGAGAATGTGCACCTAATCTACGGGCGTTCCGGCCATCATTAATTAAGTCTTTTCATATGGAGAAGGTTATTGCCATTAAAATTGGAAAACTGGATGAATTCAGAGAAAGGTGGGCGCCGTTTCTACAAGACGATGCCTTATGTTTGTAGTGTGCCACTGTCCGTGATTCGTGTGCGCTGAATTCCGTGCCTGTAATAATCGTGTATAAAAGAATAGAATAAAATAAAGGAAAAAAAATCTACGAAAAATTCTCCGTTTTTTCACGTGCATTGATTTTCCTTAAATGTTGTTAGGGGTCCTCTATTCGCAAAAGAAATCCGTCTAACTTTTTTGAGAAGCCCGGTATCTAAGCGTAATGCAGCAATATGATATCATAGACTTTTATATCTAAACGTAATGCAGCAACCTATGATGGTACTTAAATAAACGTAAGTTGAAGCACTGACAACTTGCCATTTTGGTTCATAAATCGACCGGCTGCCAAATCTGGCTGTGATGCCAAATGCCAAATCGGTATCGATTTAGTGCCGCAGTCCATAACTACATATGCAGAACATTGGTGAGCGACGGCTATCTCCTGTCTTACCTATGTTCCACTTGTCGTCACCAGAGAGTAGGCCGACCCAGAAGTAGTCGGAATTGGACAGATAGTGCCGCTTGCTCAGGAAGGCCTTGTTGCTGTAGGTGATGGAAGCCAGGTGGGCGCCGGCAGTCAGGTTCTGGCACCCGATGGCGTTGGCGTCTGACCAGCTCAGCCAAGTGTCGCTCAGCTTGTAGCAGACGTCCCGGTGCGGTCCCTCCCAGCCATCGGGGCAGCTCCCTTCCTGTCAAGGAACAAACATCACTTGGTACAGGCGAACAGTCTGATCTTTTTTTTTGGAAAACGGCTAATAAAATCCAAAATTTTGAGAATTTCCAAAAAAAAACCGGAAAATATGTTATAGAGCTCTATTAGAACATTAGACGTCCCAAATTTCAACTTTCTTTCTTGATTTTTGACCCCCAAATTGTAAAAAATAGCTCCAACTTGCAGAGGGCATGGTGACGTCATAAGCATTTTCGTGAATTAGAGGCACTTCTGAACATTGCATGTGAAAACAAATGGCACCACTAGATTCCTGGGACAAAGGTCGTCTAGAAAAATGCATTTTTATGTCAAAAATAAAAACTTGAGAAATTGACTTTTTTTCTTGGCCCTCGTTTAGTTATGTATGGTATACCTAGACGATTTGTTATGCTTTCAATGCACACTTATCACCAGCACAGTTACTTGGGGTCACATATAACCATTACCATCGGATTCGGCGTGAAAAATAAGCCATAAAACATGTGTCGCACGCCCATGTAGTAGAAAGTGAAAACCGTGACCATTCGTGACCTGACCTGACCTTGACCCGTACTTAGTATGACCCCTATACGCACATGGTACCTTCACTAGGTCTTTGATGTCATTTTTGGTGAGTCTTGAGCAGCAGCTTTCGATTCCGCTGTCCGTAAGCTTAATCATGCAAAACCCCAGAATTTGACCTTTGACCTGACCTTGACCCGAAAGTTGACCTCAATCTTAAAATCTTAAGAGTGCTTTGGGAAGGTCTCGTAGAGACCTTTCGCCAACGCCGCCTCGCTGGGCTCGATACGACCACTGGTTCTCGAGATAGCAGGGGGGTCGGATCCGACCCCCCAGGCTGTCGTGGTTACGGAAATAGCCCAGGCGGTGCCGGGTTAAACCGTTGGCGTTGAGCTTATCTCACACCTAGACAGTCCACAGAAATAGCGTTATAAGGGTTATCGCCAATGCGCTTGTATGCGGCGCTGTAGCTCAATTGGGTCCCAGCTTATGCGCCAGTTTGTCAAAAAGTATTGAAATAGGCAGAATTTAAGCTTTGCTGACATCTGAGGCCTCTTGCACCAAACTACCTACCCAGGTAAATTCCGATTTTACCTAAATTCTCTTGCACCAAACTACCTACCAAAAAACGCTACCGTGAAAATCTACCTAGAAATTCTACCGAGCGGCATCGGAACTTACCAGTTGTTAAACTGCGACCGGCTGTTTTCCTCTTGCACCGAAAGCCGGAAAGTAGTACTCGCGGAGGAAATTTTGACGTTTTGAAGGTAAATTCGGGCCTCGAAAATAACTAGCAAAAGCTTAGGTAAAATGATTCAATTAGTAACAATAGGCACAATACATGATATTCCACGGGTACTTTTATGTAAATTAGGCATTACAAAATGTTTAGACAATGATAAATCAATGTTTTATGAGTGAATAATAATATAATTGACCAAATGCTCCATGGGTTCACAGAGGTGCTTCTCCGTACCAAGGCGATAAACCTCCGTAGCAGAACAGCCAGGTTGAAGACTCACTCGTTGCCATGGAAACGAAGCTTATTTGTTCAAGTAATTTAATATCAAAATAACTTCTATCGGTATTTACGTAAATGAAAAATGATTTCATAATACCAAAATGTATATTAATAAAAACAATATCCATTTAATTGTTTTCTTTAGTTACTATTTGTTTGCGCCCACAAATAATTCGTCGCCAAACAGCCAATCAAAACAAATCCTAAAAACGCGAGCTGTCAAATTTACCTAGGTAGGTAGGTAGGATGGTGCAAGAGAAGCTACCGCCGTAGGTAGTTTTACTAGGTAGGTATTTTGGCCGATTCTACCTAGCTAGGTATTTTGGTGCAAGAGGCCTCTGGTGACATCTTTGGCCCGACCTAAAAAATGACCCAAGTAATTTCGTTATAATTTTGACGCTCTTTAGAACGCAGCCTACTGCGTCGTGTCGCTATGTGTCCCAGGAGCCAAGTTACAAGGCAGTGTTCAAACACCTCCGCGCATGGAAATCCAGGAGCCCCAGCGGGGAGCGAGTTGACAATTTACGCGCTCATATGACCTTCATCTGGTATCTTACGACACCCTTACCCGTAGTTGAGTCAGACATACACCTACCTGGTTGTGACAGTCAGCAGGGGCACTCAGTTGCAGGCATATGAGCGCGACGCCCAGCAGAACCATACCACTGGTGACCGACATGTTGGTGGAGCTGCGATCAGAGCAACGTCTTTATATCTATGAGAGCAACGGACGTCCCGAGCCCAGCGACAAACGACCAGTGATCGACAGCGAACGACCAGCCATGAACAGCCAGGGTCTACCGATGACGGCTGAGGCCGTTGCTGCGCTACTTTTTATACCGCCTGTCGTCAGCCCCGCAAACTGAGAGGGTGGGTATGGTGCCGTGCGGCGTGGAACAAGTGCGCTGCCTAGCGCTGTTTCAGTTGGGCAAACAGTTGGGTCGACTCTGGGTGGCTGGGTTTTGAGTTTTGACAGCTGCTTGTCCGATGTTAGGGCAGTGAGCGAGAGAGAGAGAGAGAGAGAGAGAGAGAGAGAGAGAGAGAGAGAGAGAGAGAGAGAGAGAGAGAGAGAGAGAGAGAGAGAGAGAGAGAGAGAGAGAGAAAGAGAGAGAGAGAGAGAGAAAGAGAGAGAAAGAGAGAGAGAGAGAGAGAGAGAGAGAGAGAGAGAGAGAGAGAGAGAGAGAGAGAGAGAGAGAGAGAGAGAGAGAGAGAGGCTGCCCAAAAAAAGGTTTCGCGGGAAGAGCTGTCAGGCCTACAGCTTTAGAGATACAGAAAATGTTTTTACATAAAAGGTGTAGAATAAACAGGGCTACAAAACTGGGGCCGTATTCACGTCGACTTCGTAAGTCGATTTTCTTCCGTAAGTATAATTTGGTATTCACGTCGACACTTCTTAAGTTTTTATCGACGGAGTTCACGTGAATGAAAAAAATTTACTTAAGAAGTAGGTCAAACTTAAGAAAATTCTTACGAAAATGGTCGACGTGAATATGGCCCCTGATATCTCAGATTTTTGAAATTTGTGGGTTTCGACCCCCAAAAACAAAAAATAGATTTTTTTAATATAATAGCCGGAAATCCAAAAAGTTTTCGAATTTCGAAAAACCCGGATTATATGCAGTAGTCCCTACCGCCTTCTATCCACATACCAAATTTGAGATCGATATCTCTTTTTTGCTAAGTTATAGCGAAAAAAACTTCAAAATTGATGACGTCAAATTTTTAAACTCTACATATAGCATTTCTAGACCTCTTAGCGCAAAACAAAGACCACCATTAAACTCCCCGTGACGAGCTGCATTGAATCAATACCCATTTTATGCAAAACTATCAACTTTGAAATTTGACATTTTTGACCTGACCTCGATAGGCGTTATCACAAGTGTATTCGCGGCCATTGGGGCGACGTAAGAAAAGAAGAAAAACTGGCCCCAAGAACTTTAAATTATTACGGAGCGAGCGACCGGCCGGCCGTGGTCACGCTTTTGCGAGGCTTATATCTCGGCAACCACTTGACCGATTTACATGCGGTAAATTTTGTAGGGTAGCTTCATTCCTTCTACCAAGTATTGGACTATTCCCGATGCATGTGGGTGACCCCTTATGCACGTGCCACGTGCAAAACGAAGAGGTGTCAGTTTTGTAATTGTTGCAATATCTCGGTAACTTCTTGGCCGATTGCGCTGAAAGTTGGCATGTAGGTAGGCACCCACTAGGCACTGCATATCCATGTGCCAGAGTTGGGGTGCTGCTGCACGTGCGCACGTGCAGGGGTCGTTTCCAGATCTCGAGAACGGCTCGGCCGATTGCGCTCAAATTTGGTACACAGTTAGGGACCGGTTAGTAGGGTGCCGTGCACAAGTCAGTTGGGACCCATTTTGCACGTGCGCACGTGCAGGGTGCCGCTTCCAGATCTCGAGAACGGCTGGGCCGATTGTGCCCAAATTTGGCACATCGCTAGAGACCGGTTAGTAGGGTGCCGTGCACAAGTCAGTTGGAGGTACCCCCTCGCAATTTCGCACGTGCAAGGCCCACCCTCTCGCTCGCTCCGTTAGTCGCCCCAAAAGGCGTTATACTGGTCAGTTAGCATGCACCTTTTCCTTCATCTGTAGAGAATTTACCATTAATTGCTAGAGAAAATTGCATTTAAAATCTTCCATTCGTATGCTTTTTTCATCGTTTGCACAATATGTTCTTTTATTAAGCTAGAAACACTAATTAGAAATAGTTCCCGCATCATCAAGAACAATAGGGAAGGGTTGAAGTGAATACAATAATCTAAACGGTGTTGTAATCTATGTGAAGACACTTCTAAAATTGCCTGTAGAAATATTGAAGGCAAAAGTTCAACTTTTTCACAAGACGGATGTCTATAAACCTATTCAACGTGTGACAACTCAGCCGTTATTTCGTCGCCTACAGCCCAGCTTTCCCTAGTGACCGATAGAGGCGCTGCTATCGATGTCCGCCCGTGCCGCCTAACGCTTGACCTGACTTCCACCAGAAAGTGACCTAAACCGTACCTGATGGTCTTATAACCAGCACCATTGAGTTGGAAATGAAAAATTGGCCATAAAACATGCATCGCACAACCTTAGTAAAGTTGGGTTCATGTGCTGACCCTTGGTGACCTGACCTGTGACCTGACCTGGTATTATCAGTGACCTCTAACAGCAACATATGTACTCGGCAACTGACGCCCTATCGCTGATTTTCGACAAAATGCGCTTTGTTCGGTGTTATAGCGCATTCCCTAGAAGACCCGTGAACGGTGAAACATTTTATCTTTGACCTGACCTGTGACGTCATCGGTGACCCTGAGGTCAATGAAATTTGGTTTCCCGTCACAAATTTGACAGGGCTATCGAACGCCGTTTGAATTTTACAGATCCATTCAGCAGTTTGGGAGATACGAGGGGGCAAAAAATACCCCCCCTCACCGCGCTGAAGGTGGCAGGGGGGCCCACCGCCTGACGGGTTAAACAATTTTGGAAACTGCCAAAGGCTAACTGGGGAACCAATAAAGCTACAGCGCCGCAGAAAAGCGCATTCGATAGCCCTTTTACAGACCTTTCTGAGTAATATTCTCAGATTTGACTTCAGGTCAACGGTTTAGCCCCCAGAGGACAAAACTCTAAAAAGAGCCGCTGTCATGAGCAATTTTTTCGGTGATAACTTTTGACTTAACCCGCGCGGGGCTGGGGTCTCCAGCCGAACGCGCGGGGCTGGGGGGGTAAATTTTACCCCCCCTGTTATCTCCCGAACTAATGGTCCGATTTGGAAAATTCAAACGCCAATCGAAAGCTCTCATCACGAACTACTAAAAACATGTACTTAATTTTAAGTTTGAGGTCAAGGTCAAGGTCAGGTCAAGGGTACAAATTGCAAGTTTCTACAGTATCGGCCTTGCACCGAAGTTGCCGAAGAATGGAGTCATGGACTGAGACTGATCGCCCAAAACGTGTTATTAGGCTACCAAGACAATATTCGTTGCATACAATATCATTCAGAGGTCAAGGTCAAGGTCAGGTCAGGTCAGGTCAGGTCACCAAAAAACAAAATATAGAAAAGGGCATGTGCGACACATGTTTTATGGGTCATTTTACACATAGAATTCAATAGGCACACTCAATAAGTGATATGGACCACCTCTGGATGAATTTCAGGTCGAGGTCAGGTCAAGGTCAGGTCAAGTGAGGTCAAATTTTGAAGTTGGTTGTTAAGGCCTAAAAAGGTGTCTATCTGATGCAGTTTTTCACGGCAAATCGAATGGTGCTATTTTTGTTTCCGTACGAGGTCTAGAACTTCCAAAAAAGTCATTTTTCAAAAAAATTGTGTGTCGTGACGTCATAAAATTTTGAATAACTCCCACATTTTTGAACCGATTCTTCTAAAATTTGGTATGTAGGTGCACATAGACCACTTCTCTGACATATATTCCGGTTTTTTCGATAAACTCAAAATTTTGGATTTTATAATGATTTTCCCAAAAAAGTCAGTTTTTTGAAGAAATTTAGACCAAAATCCAAAATTTTCAAAAACCGAGATAGCCATTTGATAGACAAAGTAAAATTACGTATAACCTTTTTTGTTACGTCTTGATTCCTTTAAAAATGAAGATGTTAGCGGCGTTTGAACTTTTGCCGTTTTTGAGGCGAAAATGGCGAACATGACGTCACTAAAACGTCAATTTCTCAAAAATTTTCCGACGGATTTCGCTCAAATTTTCAGGGAACGTGTCAAATTGATGTAAGAAAAGGTACTGAAAGTTTGGCGGCGCTGCGCGCCGCTGTTTTTGAGATATCGCAAAAATTCGCGAGGGGGGGGTAAAATTTACCCCCCCCCCCAGCCCCGCGCGGGTTAAGCGAGTACCGACATTATTTTTGCCAGCATCGTGTTCCTCTCGTCGAGACGCGTCGAATGAACTATTTGTTGACCTTGAAAGGTCATTTTGAAAATGTAACCTCAGGTCAAGGTTAACACCTGACCGGAAAGGGATGTGTTGCAAATCAGTCGATCAGTATCGTCGAGATGAATACTTCTGACGTGTTCTCATTGCTCTAGCACGTCTCTATCAAAAGTTAAAGCAAAAAAACTGCTGGTGACTGTTCATGACCCGACTCGAGATGACCTTAGGGGCACAAAGAGGGGTCACAGGTGCATTTTCCGATTCAGTTTGTCTTTTTACCTATGAACCGATGTTTAGAAGAGTTTTGAGCACCATTCGTCCAAAAGAGGCGCATTTCAAATTTCTATTGTTTACTTATAATGGATAAGTCGCAAAATTGGTCTGACTTTAGGTCACCGATATCAAAATTCCGAGATATACCTACATTTTGTACATACTGTTACCCTTACCAATCGCTGAAAGTTTCAAGGCGATCATTCAGTCAATGTAGCTATAAAGAGGATTCAAACTTTTTCTGAGGTGAGGTCACTTGACGCGACCTGGTGACCTGACCTTGAGAGCCCTGGGTCAGAAATTTTTACAACATGTGCAGAAAAGATACATTAACAGCTGTGCATAAACGGCGGTGCTCCGCGCCGCCGTTTTTGAGATATCTGCGAAAAACCGCAGGGGGGGGGGTTCAAACACCACCCCCGAAGTCAAGCTCGGTGCCCCAGGGTATCTAAGCCATATATCAAGAAATGCGTGAACCAAAAATGAGCCTGATCGAACTTGTTAGCCGGCGGCCAGAGCCTAAACTGTGAACAAGCCAAAATGTTGATAATTTTTACTTTGACCTGACCTGTGACGTCATCGGTGACCCTGAGGTCAATAAGATTAAGTTTCGTTCGGCAGTTTTTCCATGGCTATCCGACGCCGTTTGAATTTTAATGATTGGTCCATTAGTTTCGTAAAAAGGAGCCCCCCCTCGTCACTTGCGTTATGGAAAATACCCCAGTCATGCGCGGGTTAAAATATACATTTTTATATTTTCCAAATCAACACATAAACAGTGAACACCGTAAAACAGCCATTAAACACCTCTTGATTTTTAATTCCGGGTTTAGAACGTTTTTTTCTGAACCAACGAGAATATAAAATTCAACAGTTAAATAATATTTACGCGAAGGTCCTAGTTATAATACTGACGTCCCACAGCACACAAAAATATGATATATTTCACAACATAAAATATATACCTAAGTTATCCGCACACACAAACCAGTTCCATTCAGGGGCACACAAAGAGGTCCGCGTTAGGTAGGTAGGTAGGTACGTCATGACATCAAGAGGCTGATTAGAGAAACTATCACCATTCTCTCAGTCGATAGCTGACTTTTGACAGAAAGATAGCTCACATGCTTTGACTTTTTGAGACTGAGGACTTTTTGGATGGGGCCTAGGTCGTCCTTTTCAAATTCTCAGCTCACTGCAGAACATTAAAAATCAGATACCTCTTGACAGAACCGCGACCGATCCTCTTCAGCACGGGTATCAACTCCTTCAGATCTTCAGGGCGCAGAGAAACTGGGACTCGTAGCTACAGTCATAGTCGCCCCACTCGCCAGTCGAGAACAGTTCATCCTTCTCCAGACCATTGACCATGACACAGTCGTTCCCAGGTCCGATGTCGTCGCCGTCTGGCTCGGAGTAGGAGAGTTTCAGCCAGTTGGTCGGCTCCGCATCGTCACCGTTATCCCACAGCAGTTTTCCGTCCACAGTCGGCGTCGAGTGAAGACCGATCCAGAAGAAATAGGCGTCTTTCAGAGGCACGTTGGCAGCCAGCTCCTCATAGTTGGTGACCTTGGCCAGAGAGGCGGTGGCGACAAGTGAGGAGCAGAAATCATTTGCCTCGGTAAAGGTCATCCTCTGATCCTGAAGCATGTAGCAGGCGTTGTCGTAGAGAAACCAGTCGTGGGGGCACGCGGCACTCGAGTCGTCCTGGGAAGAAAAATTATATACATATAGTTGATTGAATGCGTGAGGTAGATTACGACTTCAAAAATAAATAAAAACGCAGAAGCATATCATGCTAACTCATTTTTCACAAACTGCATTTTGGTCGTTCTCACGACGGCGATTTGGTACAAATTTGGTCACATTTGGTGCACATTTGGTCAAATTAGATTCATAGTTATAATAGGTTTCCAGCTTAGGAAGCAATCGTTGATTATTTGAATGATATTAAGTTATCAAACATCAATTTTCATCAAACTAACTTAATGAACTGAAAATATGCGTCAAAAACATAAAATTTCCAATTAAACTAGCGTAGTTACCAATAATGTCAATGCTGCCACTCCGCACATAAGTTTAATTAATGAATAAATAAATGATTTATCTCATTCCGGCACAGTAGAGACATCTACAGACCATTGTAACCAAGGAATGTTGGAATGTAAATTGATGTCTGATATCCTGATATATCATTCAAAGCATCGGGTGCATATCAAATATGCCACGAAGTGCCACGCCTCAGAAGCGCCACGGCCTTCCTTCCTCAGCAAATATGTTAGCAAATCAAAACATTTTTATGATTGACACAGTAACTAACCCGTTCGAATGCGCAGAGGGAGTAAAAAGTGCCGTTGCACGACCAGTCGAGCCAGGCGCCTTTCTGATACTCTCCGGTGGCGGTGGGGCCCACCATGAGCACGCAGTTGTCGTTTGTGATGACGGAACCGCTAGGCTCCTGGTGCACCAGCGTCTCCCAGTTGGTAAAGTCCACGTCCTCCTCGGCCAGAGTACCTGCAGCGAAGGCAGTGGCAGAGGATTGCAGACCAAAACGAGCACGGTGCCGGACAGAACGAGAGAGAGAGGGGGAGAGAGAAAGGAAGAGAGAGTGAGCGAGATTACTGAATGTCTACGATTTTTTTGCATCTTTTATCCCTACATATAACAAATTAGATGCATTTCTGGTTATACATGATATCTTAGAATGCTTTATAGGTGCATACCTAAGCGTAATACAGCAGCCTCAATGATGATATTTTGAATAAACGTAGGGTGACATACTGACAATTTGTCATTTTACTTCATAAAACAGACCGGTGACCAAATGTGGCTGTAATGCCAAATGCCAAACCGGTAGGTATCGATAAAGTGCCACAGGACTGGGCACCGTTGGTAATGGATGGCTATCTCCTGTGTTACCGGCGTTCCACTTGTCGTCTCCGGCGTGCAGGCCAACCCAGAAGTAGCTGGCTTCATACAGAGAGTGTCTATTGCTCAGGAAGGCCTTGTTGCTGTAGGTGATGGAAGCCAGGTGGGCGCCGGCAGCCAGGCTCTGGCACCCGGTGGCGTTGGCGTCTGACCAGCTCTGCGTCGTGTCGCTCAGCTTGTAGCAGAAGCCCCGGTGCGGTCCCTCCCAGCCATCGGGGCAGCCCCGCACCTGAGCGGGAGCCAACGTCACTTGGCGAGCAGTACGGGCGCACAATGATAAACCACCCCGGATGCCTTCCTGAACGGATGGAGAAGTTCTACAAGCGGATCTGACATTGATCACCGAACGCAGCCCAACCGGTAACGGAATGAAAGGTCGGAAACAACGACAACAACAATGGTATCAAACGAAAAGAAAAAGATCTCCTCAGAGTAATTCTAAGCATCTAAAATTGTTGACCTCAGGTGAATTTTTCAGGCCAGACCCAGAGGGCAGTGTCAACGGCAAAAATCAGCGCATGTTAACCCTAGAACGCCTAGGGGGGGGGGGTTGTATCAACCCCCCCCCCCCTGAGGTTTTTTCGAAGTGCACGCTAAACGGCTTGTCGTAGCGGGCTGAAATTTTCAATACCCTCTGGGGCAACCTTTGCGCATCTTTTGCCGAAAAAAAATGATCGGGTCATGTCAGGTCACGGAGTTATGACGTCATAAGAGGTACAGCCTCCGGCCGACAGTTACCAAACGTGTGCGCCGAATCCCTAGGTTTTCTGCCGGTGATACCCACATTGTTTGATGGATCATGATGAAACTTCCCATGCATGTTGGGGCAAGCATTGGCTATCGTGTGGTGCAAGAAAATTGACCGGGTCAGGTCAGGTCACGGAGCTATGACGTCACAAGAGGAACAGCGTCCGGTACTATTTTTGAAAAGTGCCCGAACCACTATTTTGCTAATTCTTGTCACCTCAATGGGAATATGCAGCAATATTAGCTTCTATAGGGAGCAAATGGACCTCCCAAATCCAAAAATACAATCAGATTTCAAAAATTTAAATTTTGATTTTTCGAATTTCTGCCGCCGACTGTGACCTTGCCGACTTCCGGCGCTCCCAACGCGCCATTTTTAGAGCTAGGGAAACGAAATACATACCAAACGATAGAGAATTGATCAAGGAACACGATAGTGAAGGTTTCAAGTCGATATCTCCCACCGTTTTGCCGCAATCGCCGCGGAAAGTTGAAAAAGTTTGATTTTTTTTCGGAAAATTTGACCTTTGACCGGTCATAAGTAGGTCAAATGTTGACCTAGGACCAAAAAATATACCACCAATCGCGAGATCTCGGCGAGAGCAATCCGTTGGTTTTTTCCGCTAAGCTCTACGACCTTCCGTTTCGAAACGCCAGGGGGGGTCGTAACAACCCCCCCCCCCCTGGTCGTTCGTGTTATGAGAAATGGCCTGGTCGTGCGTCGGTTAACCCGCGACCGCCTGGGGGGGGGGGGTCGGATCCGACCCCCCCTCCGTTTTTCTTGAATAACTCATGAACCGCTTGCGCTATCAACTTGAAACTTCGCATACCTTCTCTCCCATCAATTTGACGTCTCCTGTGCAATTTTTAAGAATTTTTTTTTTTCAAAAATTTCTGAGATATATCGATTTTAGTGATGTAACTACATGGCGTTTTCAGTCAAAAAAATGGTAAATGTTTAAAAAATCGCCAAAAAATCGAGGTTTTAAGCAAATTGCAAATTAAGGACATGAAAAGACGCAGCTCAACGAGTTCTTTAAAATGCCTATCTCGGATTTTCCATAAAATGCGTTTTTCACCCCTCAAAATTCAAAAAACTATATTTTTTGGAAAACAGCTAATAAAATCCAAAATTTTGAGAATTTCCAAAAAACCGGAATATATGTTATAGAGCTCTATTAGAACATTAGATGTCCCAAATTATAACTTTCTATCTTGATTTTTGACCCCCAAATTGTAAAAAATAGCTCCAACATGCATAGGGCATGGTGACGTCATAAGCATTTACGCGAATTAGAGGCACTTCTGAACATCGCATGTGAAAACAAATGGCACCACTAGATTCCTGGGACAAAACTCGTCTAGAAAAGTGCATTTTTATGTCAAAAATAAAAAGTTGAAAAATTGACTTTTTTTCTTAGCCCTCGTTTAGTTATGTATGGTATAAACGATTTTTTATGCTTTCAATGCACACTTATCACCAGCACAGTGACTTGGGGTCACATATAACCATTACCATCGGATTTGGCGTGAAAAATAAGCCATAAAACATGTGTCGCACGCCCATGTAGCAGAAAGTGAAAAGCGTGACCTTTCGTGACCTGACCTGACCTTGACCCGTACTTAGTATGACCCCTATACGCACATGGTACCTTCACTAGGTCTTTGAGGTCATTTGTGGTGAGTTTCGAGCAGCAGCTATCGATTCCGCTGTCCGTAAGCCTAATCATGCAAAACCCCTGAATTTGACCTTTGACCTGACCTTGACCCGAAAGTTGACCTCAATCTTAAAATCTTTAGAGTGCTTTGGGAAGGTCTCGTAGAGACCTTTCGAACGCCGCCTCGCGGGGCTCGATACGACCATTGGTTCTCGAGATAACAGGGGGGGGGGTCGGATCCGACCCCCCCCCCCCCCAGGCTGATGTGGGTACGGAAATAGCCCAGGCGGTGCCGGGTTAATTAAGTGATCTCAAGCTATGAGTTCCAGAGGATAGCAGGATGCATAAATAGGTCGGGCAGAACTGATTTGAAGCGAAAGAAGACATTCTGAGGAATCCGATGGTGTGCTTAAAATAAACTGTTGCAGGCCCGGAGGGGGGGGATATTTTTCGTTGCCATCCCTGGCGAATATTTGCAATAGCTCGCGAATGCTTAGGGATAGAAAAACGAAACTTTTAATACCTGATCTGCCATCAATTTGACATCTTCTGAAGTAAAAAAAAAACTTGGACCCAGACCCCTTGATGAGGTAACAGGGTCGATTTTTTAGACCCTTGCATGGAAAACTGGCGTCACAGACGTGAACTTCAAATTGCTGCAAAAAAAAAGTTTTAGGAATAAAGACAAATTACGAGCACGGTCGTGTAGCGTTTGACCTAAAAAACCTTAGATTAGAGTCCAGGTTAACGACCCCGAGCAGGTGTTTTTTTTCGCAAACAACTTAGAAAAACATGGTCCTAGAGCTACGTCAGTGGTACCATCGCATTCGTCTTGTCAAGATTGCTGCTGCTGCTGCTGCTCCTGCTGTTGCTACTGGTGGTGGTGACCGTTCATGACCTGAGATGACCTCAGGGCACACAGAGGGGTCACAGGCAGGGCTGCGGAGTCGGAGTCGGAGTCGGAGTCGGAGTCGGTCGGAGTCGACAATTGTGACCGGAGTCGGAGTCAAAGTCGGAGTCGATTTTAGAAACCCGAGCCGGAGTCGGAGTCGGAGTCACCGAAAATCTGTCGACTCCGCAGCCCTGCTAGGTCTGCGGAGTCGGAGTCGGGAGTTGGAGTCGGTCGGAGTCGAAAATTCTGCCCGGAGTCGGAGTCGGAGTCGGAGCTGGTTTTTGAAAGTTGGAGTCGGAGTCGGAGTCGGAGCTGGTTTTTGAAAGCCGGAGTCGGAGTCGGAGTCGGAGTCGCCGAAAATCCATCGACTCCGCAGCCCTGGTCACAGGTGAAATTTTCCGATTCAGTGTGTCATGTTTGCCTATAAACCGATGTTTGAGAGTGTTTAGAACGACATTCGTCCAAAAGAGATGCATTTCAATTTTCTCCAAATTGACTTATGGAGGGGTCGTAAATCGACCTGACCTTAGATCACAGCACATATCTCGAAATTCCGAGGTATACATTTTATGCATACTGATACTCTCAATCGTCGAAAGTTGCAAAGCGATCGTTAAGTCGGTGCAGCTACAGCGAGCCTTCGAACGTTTTTCTGAGCTAAGGTCACTTGGCATGACTGGTGTCTGGTGACCTGACCTTAAAGGGACCCTCCCACCTTCAAAAAAGTGAATGAATTGGCATGAAAGTGATGTTGCTCGGTTCAGAAAGAGCGAAAACGAATATCCTACCAATTTTCACCGTAAAATATTCACCGGTTTTCAAGATATTATATTTTTACTTTTGTTCACATCTGGGATCTCCGCTGTTCTTAGCGACTTTATTTGGAAGCAATAGTTTGGGCAGCTAAAAGTGCGGCACTTACGCGCAAAACAACATATACCACCGCGTGCTACTAAACGTTTTAGTGAAAGATTTAAAATCGTTAGATCTGCGCTGACGTCACACATTCAGAGGGGGCATTCAAATGCATTAGCCCCTCTGAATCCAAAGTGCTGCAACTTTGAAATTATATATTTTCGATTTGAGGCATTTCTCGATGTTGTGCAAGTGCTCAAACCGGTAGGTGCAGCCAGGGACCCCATTTTGGCTATCTCAACTCAAAACCAATGTTTAGGTGGGATATGGACACTTTAAACGACTTGGGTCTGAAATTTTCACACGTGTTGAAAAGATGTAGGTATGAAGAAATGTATCAAAAATGGCGGCGCTGCGCGCTGCCGTTTGTGAGATATTCGCGAGAAAAAAAACTTGGTAGGGTGAAAACGCCCTTTTCCCCAGCACGGCGCGGGTTTAGAGAGGGTGCAGGCTGAACCGTTGACCTTAGGTCAAATCTGAGGACATTCTACAGAAAGGGACTTAACCCTCGCCCGTAAACGGCGATCTGCAACCTTCGCCCATGCAGGGGGGGGGGGGTTGGTGCGACCCCCCCTTGGCGTTTGAAAACGGAGCGTCGTAGAGCTTAGCGGAAAAGACCAACGGATTGCTCTCGCCGAGATCTCGCGATTGGTGGTATATTTTTTGGTCCTAGGTCAACATTTGACCTACTTTTGACCGGTCAAAGGTCAAATTTTCGGAAAAATAGACTTTTTCAACTTTCCGCGGCGATTGCGGCAAAACGGTGGGAGATATCGACTTGAAACCTCCACTATCGTGTTCCTTGATCAATTCTCTATCGTTTGGTATGTATTTCGTTTCTCTAGCTCTAAAAATGGCGCGTTGGGAGCGCCGGAAGTCGGCAAGGTCACAGTCGGCGGCAGAAATTCGAAAAATCAAAATTTAAATTTTTGAAATCTGATTGTATTTTTGGATTTTGGAGGTCCATTTGCTCCCTATATAAGCTAATGTTGCTGCATATTCCCATTGAGGTGACAAGAATTAGCAAAATAGTGGTTCGGGCGCTTTTCAAAAATAGTACCGGACGCTGTTCCTCTTGTGACGTCATAGCTCCGTGACCTGACCTGACCCGGTCAAGTTTCTTATACCATATGATAGCCAATACTTGCCCCAACATGCATGGGAAGTTTCATTACGATCCATCAACCGATCTCCGTACAACCGGCAGGAAACCTCGGGCGTTGGCACTCAGTTTGTGAAAATCCGGCCGGAGGCTGTTCCCTTTGTGACGTCATAACTCCGTGACCTGACATGACCCGGTCAAATTTTTTTTTTTATCAAAAGATGCGCAAGGTTTGCCCCATAAGGTACCCAAAATTTGGCGGCGCTGCGCGCCGCCGTTTTTGCACTATTTCCGAAAAGCCTCAGGGGGGGGGGTTGCACCAACCCCCCCCCCTACATGGGCGAGGGTTAAAAGAGCTATCGGGTGCGCTTTCCCATGGCGCTGTAGCTCTGTTGGGTCCTGAATTATGTGCTAGTTTGTCAACAAATATATAAATAGGTAAAACATGACATTTGATGTCCTCTGGTGACCAGACATTTTACCTAACCTAAAAAATGACTGAGATAATTTCATTATTTTTACGTTCCTTTCAGACACCGCCTACCTACCGCATGTCCCTAGCTGCCAGCTGGACCAGGAGTCGAGTTAGAAGGGTGTGTTTCCAATCGTTATCGGGGGCCAAATCGGGGGCGTTAACAATTTGCGCCATTTCATTGGCATTCATATGGTATCTTACGACATCCTTACCCTTAGTTGTGTCAGACATACACCTACCTGGTTGTGACAGTCAGCAGGGGCACTCAGTTGCAGGCATATGAGCGCGACGCCCAGCAGAACCATACCACTGGTGACCGACATGTTGGTAGAGCTGCGATCAGAGCAACGGACGTCCCGAGCCCAGCGACGAACGACCAGTGATCGTCGAAGAGCGACCAGGGACGGACGATGAGCGGCGACCGATGATGGCTACTGTATGTTGCAGCGCTACTTTATATACCGCCTGTCGGCAGCCCCGCAAACTGAGAGGGCGGAGAGTTGGGTGCCGTGCGGCATGTAAAAACTAAAAAGTGCGCTGCCTAGCGTTGCTTCAGTTGAGCAAACTCGAAGGGGTCGATTCGCGCTTCTGAGTAACTCGTAGCCGTTTGGACAGCTGTTTAACCCGCGCCCCGTTTTTTTTTTTGGGGGGGGGGGGTAAGATCTCGAAAACCACGCAACATAGCGACACGCAGCAAACGGTGTTGGATAGCCCCAGCGGGGAAACTACCTTGTGACCCAATTTCATTGACCTCGGTCAAACCGATAAGGTCGCAGATCAGGTCAAATGTCGAATTTTTACCCTTTACATGCATTTCAAGAAATGCGGTGTACGGACAATCGAGTAAAATGCATGATTTTGAAAATCATCCATGGGGAATTGTTTGTCATACACATATATTGCTATTTGAGGTCCCTGATACCAGATCAGGTTACAGAGATCAGGTCAGTTAACCCTCGCCGGCCGAGGGGGGGGGGGCGGGTGCCGCCCCCCCCATAGGGTTTTTTCGCGATAGCTCCGAACACGCTGGCGATAGAGAGCTGAAACTTGGCATACCTGACCTTTGATCCAAGCCGCATCTTTTGACACCAACCGCATTTTTGGGTCAGGTCAGGTCACTGACCTATGACGTCATAAGTGAACCTCTGCACGGTCTTCAGATGTCGCAACTTCGCAACGCCCTCACTGCCAGAGGAGATGTCACAGGGAAATGAAACTTGCAGGATCTAGTATCCATTATGAGTCCCACAACTTGTATATCTCGGATTTTTCCTAAAGGTCATATGAGGTCAGGTCATTTTCGTGACCTCACCATTATAAGTCAATGGGGAAAAATGAAAATTGCTATTCTGGCGCCGGGAACGATCTCCAACTATCTCAAGCACACAGAATCGTGATTTTATGCACTCCTTGCAAGGTTAGATGCGTCACTTTTGCAATGTTGACCTTGCGTGACGTCATTTATGACGTCATCAAGGTCATATTAGTTTTTCGTCAATAACTCTTGATCAAATTGAGCTAGCGAGTCGGAAAAGCCACCAATGGACTCAGGAAGACCTGCCGAATCGAATGATATGCGACATGACCTCTTTCGACCAACTTCGTGACCTGGGGGTGCTGACCTGACCTTGACCTGAGGTCAACACCCCAAGTTGACCTGACCCGGACAAAAAGTATACCATTCGACGCGCCTGAGCGAGACGAACACGATGCTGCCAAAATCGGCGCTCTGCGGCCGTTTTTTGCGAAGTTATTCACCAAAAACTGAACCGTACCTTGGGGCACTTGACCTGACCTCAGAGGTCACCGGTTGACCTAGGACCTTAAAATCGGGTACCAATCTCTGCGTCTCGTAACGGCGCACACGCTCGTTTTTCCGCGACGCGCTAGCTCCACCAGGGGCGAAACGGCGAGGGGGGGGGTCGTACCCGCCCCCCCCCCCCCTCGGCCGGCGCGTATGTAGAAAACCAATAGGTCCGGCGAGGGTTAACCCTTGCCGGACCTGTTGGTTTTCTACATACGCGCCGGCCGAGGGGGGGGGGCGGGTACGACCCCCTCGCCGTTTCGCCCCTGGTGGAGCTAGCGCGTCGCAGAAAAAAACGAGCGTGTGCGCCGTTACAAGACGCAGAGATTGGTACCCGATTTTAAGGTCCTAGGTCAACCGGTGACCTCTGAGGTCAGGTCAAGTGCCCCAAGGTACGGTTCCGTTTTTGGTCAATAACTTCGCAAAAAAACGGCCGCAGAGCGCCGATTTTGGCAGCATCGTATTTGCCTTGTTAAGGCGCGTCGAATGATATACTTTTTGTTCGGGTCAGGTCAACTTAGGGTGTTGACCTCAGGTCAAGGTCAGGTCAGCGCCCCCAGGTCACAAAGTTGGTCGAAAGAGGTCATGTCGCATATCATGCGATTGGGCAAGTCTTCCTGAGTCCATGGGTGGCTTTCCCGACTCGCTAGCTCAATTTGATCGGGAGTTATTGACGAAAAACTAATATGACCTTGATGACGTCATAAATGACGTCACGCAGGGTCAATATTGCAAAAGTGACGCATCTAGCCTTGCAAGGAGTGCATCAAATCACGACTCTGTGTGCTTGAGATAGTTGGAGATCGTTCCCGGCGCCAGAATAGCAGTTTCCATTTTTCCCAATTGACTTATAGGTAATGTTGAGGTCACGAAAATGACCTGACCTGATATGTCCTTTAGGAAAAATCCGAGATATACAAGTTGTGAGACTCGTAATGGATACTAGATCCTGCAAGTTTCATTTCCTTGTGAAAGCTCCTCTGGCAGTGAGAGCGTTGCGAAGTTGCGACATCTGAAGACCGTGCAGAGGTTCACTTAGGACGTCATAGGTCAGTGACCTGACCTGACCTGAAAATGCGATTGGTGTCAAAAGATCCGGCTTGAATCAAAGATCAGGTATGCCAAGTTTCAGCTCTCTATCACCAGCGTGTTCGGAGCTATCGCGAAAAACCCTATGGGGGGCGGCACCCACCCCCTCGGCCGGCGAGGGTTAAAGTTATCCATATCAATATGAAAATATCACGTGATGCATGTTTTATTGCGGCCATTTTACATAACAAATGCGATTATGTGGGTCAGGCAGCCTTTGGGGCCAGTTTAGGCTATCTGGTGAAGATCAGGTCAAAGTCAGGTCAAATTAAATCAAATTTCAAACTTGATATTTTTGCATTAAATGGGTAATTGATTCGATGCAGCTCGTCACGGGGAGTCTAATGGTTGTCTTTCCTGTGCGCTACGTGGTCTAGAATTGCTAAAAATTGATCTCGAAATTGGGCGTGCCCGGCTTGTTGGTGCCCAGCTTGCTCACATGCTGCCCGCATCCAGCCCAGATAGGTGTGGGGTCAGTTAACAAAATTTTGTAGTAAGGAAATATTCATATAGCCCTTATGAGCTTATATGAACCGAGGCTTGTTTCAAACATGTTGAATTACGCTGTACGCTCAGCCCATATGAGACCCAGATTTAGCCCAGATAATAGGTAGCCCACATGTAGCCCATGCCCAGTGCCCACTTAAGCCCAGATGCCCCACTTTCAGCCCATATGGGTCCCATTTGGGAAGGCTGGCTGGGCACTGTGTTCGTCTCATCGAGAAGCAGTAGCACATGCAAAAAAATCAGAATTGAAGGTCATAGGTCAAGGTCAAGATCACTTTAATCCTTGCCCCGCTGGGGGGGGCAATTGGGCCCCCTGTGGGTTTTCCTAAATAGCAAGAAAACGGCGTTGCGCACGCCGCTAGTACCTTCCCGGGGATCAATTTGACACCTTCTCACAAAATTTCAAGCCTTAGGTCACCTTAGGTCAGGAGTTATTGAGGTCAAACTGAGGTCATGTTCGAGCAAAAATGAGCAAAAACATGAAATCTCGAAACGCTCACAAAATCTACAGATAACAAGCAATTTCAAAGTTCTTTATATGTTCATGTCGACAAAAGGTGGTGCTACAAAACTGCAATCTCGGATTTTCAAAATTATGGGTTTTTGACCCCAAAAATTCAAAAAAGTGATTTTTTTAGAAAAAAAACAAAACTTTTTTCCGAATTTCGAAAAAAAAACGGAATATATGTTATAGTTCCTGCGCTCTTCTATATACATACCAAAGTGTCAGGTCGATACCTCCTTTTTTGGCCAAGTTATAGCGAAAAAAAACTGTTCAAAATCAATGAAGTCCAATTTTGGAACTCGATTTTTAGCAATTCTAGACCACGTAGCGCAAAACAAAGACCACCATTGAGCGCCCCGTGACAAGCTGCATCGATTCAATACCCATTTTATGCAGAGATATCAACTTTGAAATTTGACCTAATTTGACCTGACCTTCACCAGAACATAATCTATACTGACCCCAAAGGCTGCCTGACCTACATAATCGTATTTGGCATATAAAATGGACCATAAAACATACACCACATGTCGATATTTTCATATTGTGACCCTCAGTGACCTGGTAGCAGTGACCTCAAATAGCAAAATATGTGTTTGACGAACATTTCCCTATCGATGATTTTTAATGAAATGCATTTTACTCGATTTTCCAACGCATTTCTTGAAATGCCTGTAGGTAAACGGTGAAAATTCGACCTTTGACCTTGCCGGTCCCGTAGCTCAGTTGGTTATAGCGTTGGACTCCGCGTGGTGAGAGCACGCGTTCCCGGTTATAACAGTCCGGGTTCGAAGCGCGACGGGCGCTCGACATTTATGGGCCTCCGACAGGTATGGTTGCGGTTGGTGGCAGGCCGTAGCCAGGCGAAGCCAGCGAGGGGACCGGCCGTGCGCGGCTTTGTGCGCACGTTAACCCGCGCACCGACGGGGGGGGGGCGGATATCCGCCCCCCCCCCCCTGAGGTTTTTCGCGAATAGCGGGAAAACCGCGGCGCGTAGCGCCGCGAAATTTGGTATGACTATAACCTCATCAATTTTACACATGGTGTGCAAGTTTGAACCTTCTACCTTTTAAGGTCAGGTCACCAGGTCATTTTGAATGACCCAACCTCAAGTCACTTTTTTGCAACTTTGTCACCGTGCCAGAGCTACAGTAGATGTCGGAGGCCTTTGAAAGTCGCAGGATGGTATTAGGTCATTAGTAGCTACAATTTGTTTATCTCGGAATTTTTATATCGGTGACCTAAGGTCAGGTCAATTTCGCGACCTCCCCATTATAAGTCAATGGGGGAAAAATCAACTCCCTGTTTTTACCACTAAAACGGGTCGGAATGGCCCCATATACCATACATGACTTCATATACGATCAACCTTCACTACCTTGAGGTCTGTTTTGCTGTTGGGCAGCTGTGAGGTCATGTGACGTCATCAAAGGTCACCAAAGGTTTTTGGCCAATAACTCGGTACAGGAACAAGATACAGACGCGTGGATGGTCTCATTGTGTTCAGCTCGTCAAGACG